ATTGGGTGGCCAAGCAGACCCAAAATAACTTTGAGTCGAGTGTAGTGACTATTCGGTCGAAGCATAGGCGGTTCCCGAAATTTTGTAACTTGTAAGGGGTCTTGTTGAAAACGCCTTTGTCTTATGGGAAATAAATATTTAATGAATTGACATAATAACTACAATTTCAATCTGCTTAACACAAGATTTGTGAACACTGATGTAATGTGCATTGTGCACCGTGTTACGATTTACTGTTCTAATTTACTAATCGGAAGGAAATAATCTTTTCACGCTAATTTTAATTTTCATTTTTTCCACATTGACACCAATGTTCATATTATATGTTTTATCACATCAAGTTCTGAAAGAAAAAATCTCGTGAATTAAATGTGCGAATCACAAATTCTTAGTTGGTAAATTATGATTTAAACTTTTACAGGTACGTCAAGTTCGGGAGACACTACAAATAATTGAGCGGAGGGTAAATCAGTCTGCAAAATTGGAAGTAAGGCAAACAAATTCCCACATTCGACCAATTTAATTGTATTAGTTGATTTTCCTCGCAGTTTTTTTAACAACTTCTTAGAACGTGAATAAAGTTTTTTTTTCTTATGCAGTCTTGAGTGTGAAATATTCAAAGTGCTTGATTATCATTTTGTTGTTGATATTTGATTGTTGATTTGGTTGTTGATATTTGGTTGTTTTATCAACCAAAAATAATGCAAAGAAGTGCAGACGCTTTTCCCCAAGAAAATCAATGAGTTCTAATGCTGAAACTTGAGAGATATTGGGTAGTTTTACTCCTGTTTTAGATCAATTGCTGTTTTAAATCCTGAGAATGATTCCACTTTCCCGTGCTAAAAATTAAATTGGCTAATTTGTTTATCAAATATTTAGATGTTCGTGAGAAATAACGTTTTTTATGATGTTAAAGCCTTTTGGTTTATTAATAAAAGGTAAAGTTAGTCTGTCGCTTTGTGCAGCTCGCCAAGGCTCTGGAGATCATTGATATGTTACCGTCCTTTTCTTGCTACGGACTCTTCACGCTGGGGCCACACGCTTTCTTGCCGGTAAGTGTGGTGAAAGTTTTCTTAAAAAGATCAAATCGATGCAGTTCATGCAGTATATTTTTTCATTTAGTACATATTCGTCAAATCATCCATCTAACAAGTCATTAGATTATTTTTGTACTGCAAATATTACGTTTAAAGTCTATTTAATAACTTCTAGTACTTGTTAATTGATGTTATTATAAATTTTTTCTCCTGTTATTAAAACTAAAATGATCTAAGTTTTTCAAACTGAAATAATATATGAACAATTACTATGAATCGACATCATTGACGGCTAATATATACGGGCTCGAAATTTTTACTAAATAAAAATAATAATAAGGAATGACCAATTATTAATCTCTGAGCAGCTGCTGAGCACCTGCATCACTTTTGCCCTCGTCAGTCATCAGGACATGAAGGACAGAGCGACTTGAAGCTGCTGCGCCCAAAAGCATTTCACTATCGACGCCCAAATTTGGCTGACTATTAAATTTATTATTAATTTAATTAATAATAAATTAATTAAATTTTAAAATTAATTTTATTAAAAATTAACTTTGGGAAATAAAAACTGCGGCTGGTAGACATGTGTGAACTGTATTCGGTAAAGTAAAATGAATCACTTCAGCGCGATGTTACTGATGCGAGCAATGTGTTGTTCCGGACAAGAAGCAATGTCATTACGGACACTACCACAAAATATTTCACTTGACGTTCAATTTGTTTAGTTTGCATATTCGCTGTTCCAGATAAATGTTTTGGATTACTATTAGGTAGGCCTACATTCAATATGTGTCATGTCAGAGGCGGTTAATGGTTACAATCTTTCGTTCAGAGAAAATTCCGTACGCTAAGCTTGATACCATACTAATGTGCCCGCCCGGTAATTTTGAAAAATAATCGTATCTAAATGCCTTCGATTTCCTTGCTTATGGAGAACGGACTACAAGTGGGGCGGACTACAACCCCGTTCACACTCGGCGCTGTGCAGCAGCTTGAAGGGGTCCAGCGAACATTCACTTCCAGGATCAGAGGGATGGAGCGCAATATGGAGCGCAATCCCGCAATCAACATACGCGCAGCCGGACACACCTTCACTCTCATTCTATTTTTTCTAGTCGCTGCAGATACTACCCGAAGAGCTGGTTACTTAATAAAAATTACGTGTGCTATTACTGAAAACATAATAATGATTTACGGGGAATGCATCTTTTTGGTGGGTAACATAAGAAATCACATCGGTGGGCGAAGCGCCGTTGGCAAGCCAGTCTTTGAGATGGCAGACGACCTGTTAGTTCATTGCTAATAGGCAATCCGCATGCTGAGCTTAATTTACTATTTAATTTAGGCTTTATACTTGAATAATATTCTAATTATAATATTCTAACATTCTCATAACAAATTTCGTACGTCACCACCACCATCATTTCCATTCATCGATACGTTTTTAATTCCGATTCTGAACGGTGATAAATTTGAGCCTGAAGATATTTAATGAAGAAAAAGTATTCCTATGGACGTAGACCGTGATGAAATGAAATCCGGTATGAATCCTACCATTCAAAATATCTACTTAAGAGAAGCATTCGTTAAATATCAATTAGAAATCTTTGAAAATTGTGCCTACTATAAGGGAATTTTTCCAAGTGTGTACAAATTTTTCATGCCAATTCCCCATATTTGGAGCTAAACAAATCAATTCGGCTACGATTTGGAAAAGTATCGCACTAGTGCGCCCATTTCACACGTACACTATCGAAGGATATTCCCTCGATATTCACTCATACATTTCGCCCACATCATTGTGAATATTATAATTTCTCCTTATATTATAATTTTTCCGTATAATTTCTTTCACTATCCACTTGGTACGAACGAATCGGTCTAGTCCAATCTCTTTCACTGCAGGTTCCTTCCTGCCAGGTGATAGCTTACTTAGTTACTCATCGAAAATAAGTAACAGGATGATTTTACTATAAAGTGCTCAGTATTTTTGGTTATCAATTCAAATCACTCCAGCAGTTGATTGTTTTCTCGGCAGGTCGACAAATACTTAGGGTAACATGGGGCAGCGGGCTCTCCCCTTTTTTGAATTAAATTTTTGATGAAGTTATAATTGATACGATGTTGTTCTTAAGATACAACTAATGAGGAATGTGTTTAGACGCCTATAGAGTTATTAGGCGCCTATAGAGTTATTCAATTTTTAATGAAACACTATTTGTAAAAAGTGTCATAATAGGCCCATTCCACCACTGGGGCAATGGGCCCATGGGCTTGGGGCAAGGCGCCCACCCTTGGTCCTTTTACCATAATTGCATTTTTTCGTTTAAAAATGATAAAACAACACTTTACAGTTAAAAATAAGAAAAATATAATAAAAAATATAACATTCATTCATTTATTTTCAACTTGAAATAAATATACTCTTGGCTTAAAAAATCTATCACTGACGTTAAGAAAAATATTTCATTGACATAAAATGAAAAAATATAACCTTGCGATAAAAAAATTAATCCTTGACATAAAAAAATGTATACTTGACTAGAAAAATTATATTTAGTTGCTCAGAAAAAACTTCGTTCCAGTTTCGTCCATAATCCTGATTATTATGTGCAGATAATTCGTACCTAATGATGATTTCAGCTAACACCATAAAAACTCATCAACTTTTGGCTTATTGGTGTGGACTGAAATCAACTTTTGGCAAGGCATGAGTCAATAACTCGATAAGGGGTCAAATACGCATAACTAGAAACTAGAACCTGCTGCCTTGAGGCGGCAAATCAAAAAAACATGCAATATGAAGTGTAATTTGTAATTCAAAAAGCTAGTCATAGTTTTGAAAAGGTCACTGAGACAAATCTAATGATGTATAAGACAAGACTTCACCATGGGCGCTTTGCCCCGTGACACGCGTGGGCCCGTTGCCCTACTAGGTATCATTTCAATTTATATCGCGTCAACATTTTATTTTAAAAGATAATAGTCTAAACTTGAACTCAAAATTGTCCCTATAAATATTACTTTCAAAATATAATACACAATAATTTCAAAAGCTTCATCTACAGTAATCGAAAAAGTTTTTTTTTTAGCAGAAAAAAAAACTTTTATCTGGGCTAAAACAGTTATTCACAAATAACTTAACAACGTAAACTCTTAGCAAAACGTAAATCCGTACACTTCATCCCTCGTGAAACAGTAGACCGGACGTAGAGAACACGGACCAATATCTGCCATACTTAGCGAGAAACCCGCTATGGGTCCGTGACCCGCAGTGGTCCGTTTGCCCCTTGTTACCCTAATATTTTTGAACGCACGCATTTTTTCATCCACGAAGGAGATGAAAATATCCCCTCGCTAGAAATATCTATCGCGTCAGCATATTATGAGCGACAACGAAGAGTTTTAACACGAATTCAACTTCACTTTCATGCTAAAATTGCCCAAATTTCATAGAAGTCAGAAAACTGTATATAGGTTTCCGATTATTTATTTGCATCAAATTGAATTCTCGACTAACTAACTAAACGCTCCGTTCTTTTGAAACAGAAATAAGTCCCTTAAGAAGCCCTAACAATTTTGAAATCCATAGTACTGAAGAATTTCCCTAAATACGACGTGGCAATTAAAGAATATTCTGAAAAAATTTATATGGATTTATAGTAAAGTTGTACCTCGAAATCGTGTTAATGAATTCGAGATCTAATCTATGCATCACATATGACCCGCACATCTTTCCTGCACAATCGCTATGCTATTTATTTGAATTAATTTATCCAATAGTTATGCCTATTATTTGCGAGTAATTATCAATAAACTATAGGTACTTCAAATGCCTGAAGATATGTTTGCGCCATAACGTGAGCTATTCACGCCAGAGTTAATTTACATAAGGAATAATTACTCAATAAAGCATCCACTACTCAACTCGTGAATTTTGACTATAATTTGCCGTAGAAATCAAAATTTTCTAAGAATTCCTAGAAAATTGTTTTGACCGGTAACTAAACTAAATACATAGTCGAACCCTATTATAGATATAATACATCGGAGTATATCATTTAAGGATAAATCAACAACGACCATACCTGAAATTATACTGAAACATAATAAGATTGAATGATTTAATTTGAGACTTTTATTTTAATGGGTGACCACTATACATCGGCAACGTTGTCCCTCATCCCCGAAATTCTTGGATGCTTGAAATGCACTAATTATGGTAATTTGCCTCAAAAACACTTCTGTTTTAACAGAATTCTCATGTAAAGAAGTCGATAAATGTTGGATATGTTGACGATGATGGGCAGGGTTGTCCATCATTCCATCAAGCACTGGGCGCAGGTTTACCCTTGCATGTTATCTCGCAACACAAACAGTCCAGGGAAGTGCACTCGACTACACTGCACCAGTCCTTTCCAGTGCACCAGCCGTTTCCACTGCACCAGTTTTTGTCAGTGCACCAGCCTCCTCCACTGCACCAGTCTCCTCCACTGCACCAGCCCCCTCCAGTGCACCAGCCTCCTCCACTGCACCACTGGTCTATTGCAGTGCAGGCATCAGTGCACCCACATGTCGGTGCGGTGCAGCAGGTGGTTTTGTTCTGCACATTTAACACAAATTACACAACATTTCTCGCAACAATCTTCACAAACATTAAAATAAAACAGATTTTTAAGTGCTTGAGGTTGACAGGATTTTGTGTTGGGAAAATTTAATTGTTATCTCCATGGATTTGTGTGGAACTTGAATCTTAGCTTCACCCATTCAGTCAATAATTGTAATAAAAAAATAATAAGTTTTCTAATATAAAGCAGGTCTGTTATTTATCCCAAAATATTAAATTTATATTTTGTATATTAATATACATTCTTTTAGCTGCAACACGTTGTCGGGAGGTGATACCTGCGCACAGGCGACGCAGGCGGGCGGAGGAGCGCAGGTTTCTGCGCAGGCGAGCCCCAGGCGAGAACAGCTGTCGCCTCCCGTACAGCAGGCGGCACTGCAGCCTGTCTTGCGCACCACACAGCGGCGCACCAACAACACTTCCATGCTTGAACAATTGTATGCAATTGTTGTATATATATACAACAATTGCATACAATGGTTGTATTTATACCTATAAATAGTTAGTATAGGTGGGCAAAATTTCTTCCTTCAAGCTGGTTTCATTGAATTCGTTTTATTGAATTCGTTTTAGAGAATTCGTTTTATTGAAAATTTTCTTATTAGTTTTTTCAATAGATCGAACAATATTTTTCATTTGCAATGGTAAATCGAAAATCTGAGTACCGATGGACATTTTTATTTCTTTAACAACGTTTCGAATATATCAAGCATTCATTTTCAAATTACAAGACGCATTTAATGATGGAATTTGGATCGACATTAGTATAAAATCATGTATAACGAATTCTCTGGTCCTCAATGAAACCTATAAATAGTTGTATAAGTACAAAAGTATGTTTTAAACTATTACTATGTGCCTCAGTGCTACTGATGTGATGCTTGTATACAACTATAATAGTTATTATGGTGTGTTTGTACATAGATTAGCAGGGATCAATCCATACATTCAGAGAATATATTGCATGTTAAGTTTAATACAGCAAATCAATCGTGAGATGCTAGATCTGCACGAGTGTCTAACAGACCATCATGTCTCATTATGTCACAATTACCTTAGTGATGGCATACTTTTTAGCGCATTTTCTCATTTATGGGAAAATGCACTATTGTGCTCGTCATGTCCGTCCGTCTGTCTGTCCGTCCGTTCGTCCGTCCGCGACTTTACGTTTTCGTCAACGAGAAAATGTTTGTCACTCACTGCAGTGAGTACTGAGTTATATTTTTTATCTTCAACAAACTTCCAATAACTTTGACATTTTGAATACAACGAATATAACAACAGTGATGTTATTATCCTTGCTTAGAATTATTAATGAAATAACTAATGTATCGATCAAATCAGCTTTTGTCTTGGCTGTGAATAAATAATTATAGTTTCAAATAAATAAGAAACATTACAAAAATTGTAGCCGAAGATTTCGTTTAAATTCTAATGTATACAATAGAAGAACCGCGCTACACTCATTGTAGCACTTTAAAATATGTTCATAAGTCGAGTTTTATGATTAATGAATGTTTTTTCTTGACTTTCCAGTATTACATTTTCCTTATAAGCTGAATCAGTATCTGGAGAAACATATAATAATTCGATTAGAACCTTCGCTGTACTCACCTATCACGAGCAGAATGAGATAAAGGGCTATCCCTAGGCATATGAAAGCAGCTAGAGGCCAGTCGGAAAAATTAGCTACTTTTTTAACTTCGTTGTCATCAGAACTTTGATATGATATCATACTGAAAACAAAATAATACTCCTTAATTCAGCCTTAAACTGTGTTCTCCTCGGCCTCATGATAGCGTCTATTTGAAATTTGTTTGGTGTCCGTTTCCATGACAACCAATGGTCACGATGAAGAGTCATATACCTATACATTTCGTTATTTCTTGATGCAAAAATTCCAATTTTCGAAGTTTGATAATGTTGATTGTCTTCGTTAGAATTATCGAAACATTTTTCATTGAAAAATCAATCAGAATTTAAGCCTTATGGAAGGTAATGAAAATGAAATTAAAATTCAATGCCGGATCCGCATATGTCATCATCCGCACTTGATGAAACATAACAATGCCATACGGGTGTTGTCCGACACTTGTCCAGGCGTCTTACTCCTACGCGTTTTACTGGTTGATTGACGGATTTGTTTTGTAAAGGTTGGGATCATATTGTCATTTCGAGTTATCTTTAATTCAGTTTATAGATTTTCAAGTCTTCACATTCCGCTGTTTCAGATTTAGTTACCCTTGCAGTTGCTCATGTTATTTGATTGTAGGATTTGTATTTGTATTTGGGACGTGATAACTCTGAAAAAGAACATTCTGAAGTCGGGCATTTACAATGGCCATCAGCCGTGCATCACATGTTCGTTTCAATAGTACAGGAGAGAAAAGGGAGATCAGACTAGGTAGAAGTGACATTAAAGCAGAGGCTATAGGGGTGTGAAAGTTCGTGTTAAGGGTGATATGAAAAAACAATGGGAATAGTATGTAATTCAATGGGGAATTTATTTTTGGCTTATTATTGCTATGTCCCGTTTTTTGTACTGTTGAATTTACATCCAGATTAGTTATGTTCGTATTAGATATGGGACCTCATATGCCCTGAATAAGTATTTGTGTTCTATCAAATTACTATTGATAATTATTCTTATTTTATTATTGTTTTTTTCCTTACACTATTCCGGCCTTTATTCTTACCAACCTCCCCATCTCCCCCATTCTCCATGCACTCTCCAAATATCGCTTTCCACTCTCAGTCATAGAGTTGCATACGTCAGAGCAGCAGTGCATACTACAGTGCAGCAGCAGCAGAGTATCTAACAGATCTGCGATCAGATTTAAATTCTTGCGGGAAGGATCACTTTCCGTGGCAGGGGCCAAGGCTGTTCAACGTCCTACCAAAGGATCTAAGAGAGGGGGAGTTCACCCTGGAGACTTTCAAGGGACGACTGGACGTGTTCCTGGGCACAATACCCGACCGTCCACCCCTGCACTACTACCTGTGGCGAGAAGCAAGCAACAGCATCGTGCATCAGGTGGCCCAAATGCGAAATGGATGCGCGAAAGTCAGAGGCGGCGATCCATCGTAGCCTGGGACTGCTACGTCTGAAAAACGTATTAAGGATACAAAGGAACTCAGAGGTCACTGAGTACGTCGATCGGGGTAGCTTCGACCACCCCAGCTACTTAATGACGTGGACTTGTTAGAGCCATATGGCTTCTCAAGAAACAAATTACAACTTTACAAGCATTAATGAAAGATAAATTTGAGGCTAAACCTCTTGGTGATACGATAGCATTTTTGTATTGATATTATTTCAATATTGCGCGGTAACTCTGTCAAGATTATCGAGTGAGACGAATCATAATTTTAGTAATTTCGAGGCCTACTAATAATGGAGTATATGCCAAAAAAATGTTTTCTTTGGGGCAGATTTTTATAGCAATGTCTGCACAAGGATAATTATTATTATGTTGTCTGCCATAGGCAAGTTATAACCATCTTGTCTGACTTGGACAAGCTTGCAATATATTGTTTGCAATAGGTAAATTCTCTACATCCTGTCTGTAAACGAACATTCTTACTATCCTGTTTGCCATACGCAAGTTTTTACTATTCTACCTGTCACTAGGCAATTTCTACTAACCTGCCTGCCACTAAGCTACTACCTCGTCTATTGTATACTAACAACGGTGCAAGCAATATTGTTATGAAAATTAAACATTGCTCATGAAACAATTTTACGAAAAAGAATAATGAGAATAATGAGAAAATTTAGAGCGAATTCCGTCATCCCCAATAAATTATATTAATTGACCGGTCACGGTGCTGATGCTGCTGTCCCTTATTTATTACAGGGTATGTATGTATATGCCCCGCCTATACTCACCTAACTTTTAGGAACAAAATTTTCCAGAAATCAAGTTCCTTCAATGAAGCAGTCGACAATTTTAAAAATAAATTTCAACTACTAGACGGATAGATCTCAATATTCATTCAAACAAAAAAACTTATTACTCCTGGCATAAGTTTCAAATATAAGATATATAAATCACCTTGCTCACTTAAATTCTACCAACCGTAAAGAGTAGTCCTCTATTTTCTAGAGTTAGGAGTCATTTAAGTTGCGCATTAAAAACTGTGTCCCAGAGATTACTTTTTTTAATTATAGGACTAGCGATTGTATATTGCGCATCCTGCCCTGGAAGAATGCTCGTCAGAAGGAAAATAATAAAACTCTGTAATATTCTTACTATTACATATATTCATAGCTACACAAGTACGCGTTTAAATGTACATGTACATCTTAGCAATGATCCGTAAGAAATCAACGTCTTTTACAGCTAGAAACTTAGTTCACTGACACAAAATTCCGTGCAATAATCCAAGAGAGAGTATTAAGCCATATAGGACGTAATACATTCACAAACAGTAAAAATCTCGAGAACATAGGCTGGTAAATACCAGCTGACAATTAACATTTCATAATAATTAGTTTATTGAAATTGAAAGCGTGTCATTGGGGTTAAAATTTTATCAATCGCATAGTGCAAAGTAAATTTTTAGTGTCCACTTTTAATAACGTAAAAAATTGACTTGAATTTGAATGTTTTATTTATGAACTATACATAAAAATCAATTTAAAAAAATGAACATGTTAACCAAATAGAATGCGGTCTAAAATTACTTTAGTTTAGTACTTGACTGAAAATAAAATGCATTGTAGATTTCATGAGATTTGTCAAGGCCAGAAAAAGTGGCAGTGAAGGTATATTACGCATGACAGAGATTTCGGTCTCATTATGAGAAAAATCTTAAAGTTTTCTTAAATGGAAATTTATTTATATCTTTTCAGAGATGCCAAAGTTTTTAAAAGTGATTTCATAACTGCGAAAATCAAGTGCAAGTAGCAGAAGAGTAACAAAAAACATTCGATAAATGTTAATTTGCGTGATGAAAATATATCCAGAAAAATCGACGTGACAGACATTGAGGAAAAATTAGAGAAACTTCAGATTGAATAGATTTTACACGGGGAGAATATCTGAGGCACAGTATCGTGGAAGATTAGCCATGTGATTGTGTTTCTTGTCTAAGATTAGCATTAACCATAGCAAAGTGACTTAAGCTCATAATAACACCGTGAAATTTTATGATAAACGAAAAAATTAATTGTAAATTCGAATTCTAAGACAGTCAAAACAAACTAATTTATCAGTTTCTCATTTTGAATAATAAATGATAGTTAATTTTTGTAATAACTTTAATATATTTTTCTGCCACACGAGGTTACGAGATAAAACAAATGAATTATGTTCACTTTAAATGAAAGATGACTTGATTCATAGAAATACCCTAAAAAATTGAATGATTTAGACATAACTGAGCGCGTGAGTGGTCAAACAAAGCATTATCTAGGAATATTGATGCTACACATTTTCCAATTTGATCAGATCTGTGTGATTTTAAGGATAGCGATGTCCAGTATTGACTGCACGAACACCGTGAAAATTAAATGCGGTTATCAGCTCTAGAAATGAAATTTTGTCACACTTCTGAAAAACACGGCACTAGAAATTCTTATTGTAAGATCAACAACTTTAAAAGAATCATCAATAGGTTGAAAATCTGTCATTACATAATTTAGATAACTTTTCGGTTTATACTTCTATATCTACGTGCCTATTCTGCAACCAAAGTTAAAAATTCCGGAAACGTCGTGACTGTAAAACCAAATTTTTTGAAGATTCTATATATACGCCAATATACGGTAGGAAGAATTTCTCTGCACGCGATCCCTCTTGACATTTAGCCAAACAAGAGGCACATCACTTTATTATACAATAATGTTCATCTTATCTCAACCGTACTGTTAAGCAGGTGGTATGGGGGGTCAATGTAAATTGCAATACTGAGCGACCAGACGACGATGAAAACAGAACAGTTCACCGGTACAGAGATCAGCGATCCAACATGAAATGTACTCCTGGAAAAACCTTAACCCTATGAATAATGTAGCACTTCTGAAGCATAGCTTTGTAACACTATAAAATAGACAAAAGTGAAACCATTTCGATTGTAAAAACGACGAAAATGCTGAAGAAATTTAGCCAACATCAGAAACTCTTGCGACAAATATTCTTAGACTGCAGAAAAATTTTCAATTGTTGCAATGACAGTTTTTTGAGGTAAGTTTCATGCAAAAGTGAGAAGCAACAATGAATAAAACATCAAGCTCCACTCTCGCTGATATATACAAACACTTGAGACTAATGCCGTTTCTATTTGGGATAAAATTAGCGTCTATGTTAGCCGTTGCAAAATAAATAAAAATAAAGAAATTATATTTTTTTGCTAAGAAATAAGATGCTATTCCTTAATATTATCACTTCTCGCTATTTATACAAAAAATTATGAATAGTATCTTCCTAATTTACGATTTTCTCTAAAATTCTGTAGAATTTTTTAAAACGCTGCGATGTATTGAGCTTGGCAAGAAGAAAGGATCAAATAGCTCGAGGGAAAGGCTAAGTCAAAGAGCCACATCATTCGAACTGTGGAAGGTTATCTTTAAAATTCAGCAGCTAGTGGAATTCAATATTAAGATATGAGAAAATTCATTCATTATTAAAATATTAGAAGTATCAAAACTTTGCAGTCGAAAGAGAAGTAATTTAAGAACACTCGTTGCGCTGAAACTGCCGTGCCTTGTTTGTATACGGAGAATCCTTTAATAGCAACTGGAATTTCGCACAAATAAATATAAGGAAATGTTTTGTCGCCAAGAGGAAGAGACGCGGCACTGTAGTGTCCAGGGGTCATGGAGTACGTCTTACACGAGAGCCTCGATGCTTTATATTTTTAAGATCTTCGAGAATTATATCAGGAAGATTAAATTTTATTGCATTGACAATTACATAACAAGAAAAAAAGGATTATACGTACATCATAGGCTTTTGTGTGAAAAATTAGATTAAAAAAAGCGAACATTTCAAGTCTTTGAAAGCTGAATTTTAGAACGGTAGAAATCATTCCTTTCTTGACGCAAAACCATTTAATCCTTCCGCAATCCTACAACCTACATAATTTTACATTCTACATCACGCATGCATGACATGCAGATGGTGAGACTTTCAAATAAGACGTCCTCCATGGATGTGTGTTCCAGTGATGAAAATTATTGAAGTGAAGACAAGACTTTCAAGCTGAGGCAAAAAATTTCAAATTCAGCTCAGCTACAATACAGTTCTTCGTAACTGACGATCACTCGAAACGCTTGCCATCGTTCTGTAAGACAGGAAAAGTTAAATTAAAATTGGAAACCACTATTTATTCAAGAAATCTATGATGAAGTCGTGTTCTGCTAGACATACAAAAAGAGTTGACAAGACGACACAAATGTTTTACGTGAAATTGTTGCGACCAATGCTGACCAAAATTTTATGAACAGCTATTCCTCAAAATATTCGCTCTCGAGATTATTTTTCAACGCGTTTTTCGGCAACTCATTGAGTAATCGATTGCCCATCCAGACGAATGATTTAAAAATTATTGATAAATATGTTCCACGTAATTAAGAATAGTACATAAAATATATCAATCACTAAATAGTCAAAAATAATAATTTGAAAGCAAAGAATAGTCCACAAAAATTCATATCTTTATAGAAAACGTTTTCCATGAAGACACGAATTTTGTGAACTATTCTTTGCTTTTAAATTTCTAATGAACTTTCGATTTAAGCAAACTTATGACACCAATTCTTGTTAAAAATAATTCACCAGACTCACGGGCATAACAGTAGCTAGGCCAGCCAGGAGACTCATTGCGAGGCGATGCTCAGTAACCTGAAGAGGCAGAGGCTCAGCAGCGAGGCACTCAGACTAGCTGAGGCAGCGGCGTTGGGGTGGCGGTGGCCTCCAGCTGTTTCTGGAACCAAGGCGTTCAATTAGCTTTATGTACCTAACCTAACCTAAGGGTACGCACACAGTGAAAGCAGGTTTGCCCGCGCGGGCAACCTGCTCCAACCTGCCACAAGAATGAACATAGGATAATAATGTAAGTGTTCACAGTGACAACTTGTACGAATAGGCTTCTGTATTCTATGATTTCAGGCGCCAGCCTGAGCAGGTAACCAGCACGCTGGCAACCTGCTTTCACCGTGTGCGTACCCTTACCTAACCTAAAGCGAGTTTTTACAGTTATTGGATTTTTTTTCTGACGTTTCTTAATGCGACGATATAACGAAATAATTAAAATTAACCTAACCTAAAGCGCGTTTTTACACCGTTATTGGAATTTTCCTGATGTTTTATTTTTAATGCGACGATATAACGGAATATTTAAAATAAAACAGTTTATTTCCATGTGTTAGATTATATAGAATAGAGCTTTTGATACAGTGTGTTCATATAACTTTCTCTAATAACGTTGATTGAGCAAAAATTGGTTCCATATTTTATATTTAGGGGAATGCAGAAAATTCGTAATTACGGTTTCGGTCAATTTCATGAAATTACTATAAGGTGTTGTATTTTTGCTTGAGAATGTTTCCATATTCTTACGAAGAACTTAATTACTGATTATCATTGTTACGTTGAATCCAGTAGACTTTTTAGGGCTAAAAGACAAGCCCTGGGGCCATACTTTCAAAACTCGCTAAGTGAACTGCAATAACTTTGGATCATGCATGGGTAGCATGAGTGCAATAATAAGGGATGATGGGTAGCATGAGTGCAATGATAAAATGGGGGAAAATTTCAATGTATTAGTTTGCACTAAAAAACAAATTGCTCTCGTGGAGATTTAGTTAATACTGGACTTTATTTCAGAGATCGATTCTACAATAATTTTGTGGAGATGTGTCTAGAGTGCTTGATTTGATCCTACTAATAATTTTCAAACGATTTTTTAAACAAAATTGCATCAATTTAATCAATGAGAAGCATGTGTAAAATTAAAATTCTCACACAATCATGAATAATTCCCTGATTGAAATATTTACGAAACGAATAGTGGTTATTAACAGAGATTTTAGATGATGGAACAAATAAATACTCATGTCAAAAGGCTTTACCCTATTAAAAATCATAAGCTCATATATATAAATGATTTCTAATTATAGTTAAAAATGCATTTTCTAAATACGTAAATATTAGACGAGCTAGTTTTTCAAGCCAAGCACATGCACACAAAGCCGTAGTTAAAAGATGTGAATTTTCAAGCATATTTTTCAAACGTAGAAGATAAGAATTAGTAAGGCAATAAAAAATTAGGCATTTTACTGGGCAGAGACTGACTTACTGGAATCAGAAGAGTTCAGAATTTCAGTAAAAATTAAGCATAATCGGGAGTAAATAATGAAATGGGGGAATCACATCTTTGTAACAAGAGAATATGAAAAATTTTTTGCTTATGAAGAGAAATGATTGCTCATTCAAATTTTCAACAAATTGGAACAATAATGGCATCTTAATTTACAAAATTCAGGAGAATCTAAGTTACAAAATTCCGACAAACAGCGCATTAATTTTTTTCCTCGAACGAAAACTCTTCAGTGATGTACTTTACGCAAGACAAGCTATAAAGAGTGCAGTTGTTAATTTTTTTAATTAAATAATTAAATATTAAATAAATAAATAAATAATTAAATATATTTAATTTTTAATTTTTTTTTATTTTTTTTTTTAATTCCGAAGAGAAGACCGAAAAAACACAATGTTTACGATTTTGACACAAGGATCACGAATGGAAATTTTACAAGAGCTGAGTTATGTTGAGTTATGATGGAACTTGAAGTACATAAGTACAAATAAGAACTTATGAACACATCTACACAACCGCTCATCTTCCATCATATCTAACTTCAGGTTGCGAAAATGTGAAAGTTCAGTGACTGTTGATCTAACAACTTAATTTACAATATTATATCGTCACCACAACATAGAGACGGATGAAACATACGGCTAATGTGACGGATGAAACATACGACTAATGTCAGTAAGGATATGTCATCTTCTTTTCGCGCTTCACTAGTCAAACTGTGGTTTAGCTGCGTTTGTTGTCATGCAAGAGGCTATGTCAAGAACTCCGACATTAAAGTTTATGTGCTGATACTTTACGGTGATTGATTGACAGTAAAATTTTTATTAATGCGCACTTGCCCCTTGCACGTTTCCACACGCCGGGTTCATGAGTTAAGTAAATAAATATCAAGCAAGACCATTAAATTATTTTTAAGTATGATAATTTAAAATCAAATCACAGTGAGACCAATGAACATTACGAAAGCGATCGGCATTTTATTGCAGCAGATAGAAGAGCCTCGTATATGTTAAAGCTTTTTAGCGCAACACAGAGAAAGACGCATACGGATGTTAGTGCAAGCTAGTTAAAGAAAGGCAACTAGTACCTTAGTTACATGTTAGTGCAAACTATAAACATTTTCCAAAAATTTGTGCAAGCTCGAGATAAAACGACGTTCATTTTTTGTAAGAGAGCAGCCGAAGAAATCTACAATCGCTTTACGAAGTATCACATTTCGTTGTTCTGTTCTGAACAGACCTTTATCCATGCCAGCGAGTGCGTCTTTGTTGTCCCCGAGTTGGATGAGTGATGTGGGAGGTAGAGCTGTGAAAAGCATGCAATCGGTGACTGATTTCGTAACATTAATAGAGCAGGGGCCATACTTTCAAAACTCGCTAAGTGAACGTAAGTACTTACGCTCTATTTTGGATTTGACGGCCTTGAGCGTTTGGATTTGATGGCCTTGGTAGTTTCGAGTAAAAAGGGACGGCCTTGGTGGTTTAAAGTAAAGAGGCCGTCAATGATTGGCGGATGAACTTACGATCTCTTAACTTTTTTTGAAAATATAGGCACAGGGGCAACACTTTCAAAACTCGCTAAGTGAACGTAAGTACTTACGCTCTATTTTCTTGTCTATGATTGGTGGATTTTGCTTGAAAGGCCGTCAATGATTAGCGGATGAACTTACGATCTCTTAACTTTTTTTGAAAGTATAGGCCCAGAACTCCACCAGATGCCGAAGGTTGACAAAGTTAAAGTGCACAGCAATAATGACAAAAGACATGACTGGTGCGTACCGTTACTTAAGAATGAAAGTGTGATTAACCACGATGATATGGGCTGAATCCATTCATGTGTTGGTTAATTGCGAAAAATTAATGAAAATTTCATGAATTATTTGATAATATCACTGAATCCATGGCCTGCAAGAGACTCCACCAGGTGTTGATAAGCGGGATTCGTTCAAAAAGCCATTCAGTGAACCAAACAAATAAACCGAATTTCAAACAATGCCTCATCTTTTCAAATTTTTAGCTTGAACTTACTTGGTAACGTTGAATATTGTAGAGCAATTGAAAAGAAATTCATCAAAATATTTTCTTGCGTAAAGGCAGTGCTTAGTAGGAAAGAATGTGAACAAAACGTAGCTTATTATTACCCGTTGAAACTTGAACCAGCATCTCAAAATGAATATTAATTTTTGTCTAATTTTGGATGAACAACGAATGACGACATTAGTCCCGTCATAAAACTTCGTACAAAGTTTATAGGTACCTTATGTTCCGTTGTGCATATAATACAGGTTTTTATAGTTTCTGACTTAACTTATCCAAATCACTCCCTGTATTTGCATAAGATTTGAAATATCTAAGATGGAGCAGCAACATTACCGCAAAATTCACATGATAACACCGAAATTAATAGAACCCGGAATTATATTTAACGCTTACATTGATTGCAGTTTTTCATGACTAATTTGATGACGACTTTGGTTGCGTCTCTATATTTCCATGAATTGATTGAGGGCTGAGTCCATAACTACCATTTAATAAATTTGTAAGACGGATAAGTAATTCCAATTACAACAAAATTTTTGGTGATTCAAGGAAGCAACAAATTCTAAGAATTGGTCGCGTTATAAAAACTTAGTGAATGCACTGAACATTCAAATGCACTCCTCTTTGCTGATGTAATTCTTAATGAATCACAACTTGATTTATATTTTATTTAATTATACCTGGGTTTTTTATTAGATATGCTTGTATTTATTGGCCTTCCGCTCAGGTAATAAAATAATGAAATTTTCGATGATTATTTTATACAAATAACCAAAAATTGGGAAATTATAATACGTTTCTAGTGAACCAATAAAAGATTTCATGTGGTTCTTCTATAGGAATATCACTGCTGCTTGATGTTATGCTTTACTGCACTCGTAGGTAGAATGAAATAAATAAGTATAAATAAGCTCAATATTGTATCAACCTGTATTGATAATCCAATTAGGTTAAGAACACACGAGAAAATAAGCGCACAAAAAAATTTTTTAGAGGTGGGAACGAACAATTTTAGGTACGTAAAGACGCGCAGTTTTTTAAAAGCATGCTATGTGAACGAAAAATTTTCCAGCACAAAAAGTGAAACAATGAAATTGAATGAGTATTTATATATTGGGGAAAAAGGATGAAAATCGGGGCCTTACTCATATAGGTATCTAGCTAGACTTTCTAAAATGCGAAGGACAACGATATCAAAAAATCAAAAAAAATTTTGATTTCAAGCAAAAAAATTGTTTAATTTTAGGCAAAAAAAATTTTTTTAATAAAAAAAAATTTTTTTCACAAAAATATCATTTGACATGAAAATTCCATTCGTCAACAACGCTTAACTCTGCACCCACTAGTCCGGAGAACAACAAAACAATAAACTAGAAATCAGTCAACGGACTTTGAACGTAAACGACTCGAGTCATGCGGGTACGGCGATGTATAACGTAGGATAAAGAATGGATCACTGGTGCACAACATATATGTATGCATGATTGGATCACAACGAATAAAAGAAATAAACGTGGTAATGAAAACCTTCGTCTAAAACTGAAGCTTCTTAATTGCAAACGTTAAATCAGAAGCTACAGAAATCGGCCGAATGGGTTGTTAAACGAGAGTTATTCCGTACTCGAGTCCATATAATACCTAACGGTATTGTTTACGAATCATCTATAGAGTGCATGTGTATTCATCAATAATGTACACTTCCAAAATGACTGCAATGCTCCAGTAATGCTAAACAAAGTTATTTGAGTGCTATTATTATTAAAGACTTTCTAACGTGAACAGATTATTTCTATAGTGATAGACGTGGTTTTTGTGACAAGTTTGATAAGGAACGACACTCGTTAAGTAGCCGACTTATTGATTGTGAACCAATTTCTTCCAAGGCCACAACATAGACAAATATATCAAAGTCCAAGGCTTTTAATTCTATATAAAAAATTCAGCAAACTCGCTTTTAATGCGGGCAAATTGTATCAGAATAAAAGATGAAATATTGCATTGAATTACTAGTCTAAAATCCTTTACCGTTCAAGTGTTCAATGAAAAACGGTGAGAGAAACTGTAGAAAAATATTGATCATGAAATCCGTGAAGACGAAAAAGACCCACGAGCCAAATGTGTGAGAACAACCAAGTTGTGCATGCAGATAAACTTATTTATTTTAGTGGGAGAATATTTTTATTAGGATAATACGGAAATTATTGAAGCAAGAACATCAGTGTAAATTTACTAATGAATTTGCCCACTGAAGTGGTGATCATCACACTTTTACTGAAGGTCCTTGCAATATTCCACACCAGTTTTACCAATCATCAATATCAAATCCGAGGAAAAATCCGATCAATATGAAAATATAAGGGCCATCAGTACTGAATGTTTTATTCAGCACGGTCAATTAGAACAAAATTCAGTTTCCAAATCACCATACCCATGAGTCAACAAACGTATAAATGCTTTATACACACGTCTTCTGTAATATTTTTAACCACACTTCATAATTGAATTTTAGATGGTAAAACCCACATGCCCATCACTTTTTTTTGTATAAGATCAATCGTTTTATTGTTTCCTTTTTTCTATTAGATATCGCTTATATTCCGTTCTCCTCAAACTTGAATACTTCTTATACTTTTTCAGTTTACGTTCGGTTTACGGTGAAAACCGAATACCAGATTATACCTTCGGTTCTAATGTCTGATTTTCAAACGTAGGATTATTTTCCTTTGCCTGATTTTCGTTAAGAATTTATAGTTAGACGAAAAGAACATACCTTTCCTGGTGGAGAAGTTGAAGGTGACGTCCGCTGAAGGCTTAACAGAGTTGCGGATGACGAGCACACCATCGTAGTCGGTAGCGCGTTCCAGGTCAGCGACGGTGCGCTCGAAGCTCCGCGATGGACCGGCGTCCTGCGCACCTTCAGCCACGTCCTCGGCGATCTCCATCCACTCGCCAGGCTCATCGGTGCTCTCGTTTGCCTGTAAAATGCTTAGCCTCTTAACGCCTAGAATACAATAATACTATAATAGAATAAAAAACTGATTAGATTCGTCGGGGTGTCCATTAACTTGGAAATATGCATTGTCTCAGCCTGCGTATTCAATCAACGCCCGATCAAGCGCATCGCCGTATTGGGTGCGGTGCCCCTCAACAGCGTCTTTCCATACAATTCCATTTCCCTGGAGCTATATTTTGCGTCGTTATAATTCAAGTTTTGCACTAGTGACTTGCACGACTACGATGTGCGAACGTTCTTTATTTGTGCTCGTAGTTTTTACACACTACGTAGTTTTGCACACACAGTTACACATCTGAAATTTCAAAAAATGCCCGAGAAATTAAAAACTTGAAGTTGTGAATTCTATCAACATATTTTCATGGGTCCGTTCATGAATTTCCACAAAACCCCCGAATAATTGAAGTGTAGCATTTGTTCAGGAACAAAGCTCGAGTGCGCGATTTGGGGAAAATATGAATCCATTATGTTTATTCCACATGTGCCATAGTTGTGTAGTGGTTAGAAGTGCATGTGGGAGTGAAGTCTACGCTGGTAATCTGATAAAGTTGCGGTGGCTGAACTTGAGGTAGTTTTCAACGTCACTATAATTACGGGGATCGTTTTTTTTGGCGTAGTAGAAAAATAGGGCATAAATTCAACCACATTTTGTTTTATTTTAGCAAGTATGTGTGAGGGCGAAGCTGAAATGTGGCTCCAGCACTCATTCTATATCCCCCACGAAAGTCGGTCATGAGGTAATGGCTAAGACTGCGGTCATGGGCGGTGATGAGGGCGGTGATGTTACAACACTGACCTTAGTCTTGCGGTAGGTGATGGTGTAGGGGTGATGGAGGCATGGATGTTCCATCACTGACCTTAGTCTTGCGGTAGGTGATGGTGTAAGCGGTGATGAGGCGGTGATGTTTCAACACTGAGCTTAGTCTTGCGGTAGGTGATGGTGTAGGCGGTGATGAGGGCGGTGATGTTCCATCACTCACCTTAGTCTTGCGGTAGGTGATAGTGTAGGCGGTGATGAAGGCGGTGATGCTCCATCACTGACCTTAGTCTTGCGGTAGGTGATGGTGTAGGCGGTGATGTTTCATCACTCACCTTAGTCTTGCGGTAGGTGTTAGTGTAGGCGGTGATGTTCCATCACTGACCTTAGTCTTGCGGTAGGTGATAGTGTAGGCGGTGATGTTCCATCACTGACCTTAGTCTTGCGGTAGGTGATGGTGTAGGCGGTGATGGGGTAATAGCTCTCCGTGGTCCACGTGAGTGTGTAGGAAGATTCTTCAGCGCTGTGAGGATCGCTTGTGATGGCGGGAGCACTTGGAGCATCTGAAATATACAAAATTATTGAGTACTTAAATATAAAATGAAAAAGTGACCATCACTACGAGAATATTTATTGGTGAGCAGCACAGAATAATTGTTGTTATCTTATACTTATAAATTGGTTCTGGTTTAGGCCGAAACCATAGTTATTGATACATTTTTTCTATCAATCATACTCTTGTTTTTTTTTATACACAAGAAGTTCGATAACATGATTTCTAAAGCACCCGTTCTTCTATAAATTTAACCACAAAATCATCCTAATTCCAAATAATTATCTTGTCGATGATTAGTAACAATAACCTTCCAAGAAATATGATCTGTCACTGCCCGTATCTCAACATAATAATCTTGGGTCAGTTTGATCTCCTAATCTGGGGTTCGAATAACTACCCGTCAATTTGACCTCCTAATCTGTGGTTCGAATAACTACCCGTCAATTTGACCTCCTAATCTGGGGTTCGAATAATCACCGGTCAGTTTGATCTCCTAATCTGGGGTTCGAATAATTGTTCGAATAATCACCGGTCAGTTTGATCTCCTAATCTGGGGTTCGAATCGAATAATCACCGGTCAGTTTGATCTCCTAATCTGGGGTTCGAATAACTACCGGTCAGTTTGATTTCCTCGAAGACAGCGCCGTATTTGTTCGAAGCGCTGCACTGGTACACGCCGAAGTCAGCTTCCGACACTTGTTCGATGGTCAGGAGGTGGCGGTGGCCACCTTCGTGTACCTCGGCCATGGTGTCGCGGTCAACAGGTTTGTTGTCGTGTGTCCACTGAACCTCGGCCGCAGGATTGGCATGCACCACGCATACGAGCTCCACCTTGTCGCCGTTACCGGTGTGCACGATCTCCTGTTCGTGGTCACGGTTGTTGAGAAGAGGAATTTCTAATTAAGTTACTAAGTAGAAGTTCTTCATTGATGATTTATCTTATTAAGTTACTATGTAGAAGTGATTCATCGATGATTCATCGATGATTGAATGACATATCTTGTGAAGTTACTGTGTAGAAGTGCTTCATTGATGATTGAATGATATATCTTATGAAGTTGCTATGAAGAAGTACTTCATCGACGATTGAATGATATATCTCATGAAGATACTCTGTAGAAGTATGATTGAATGATAGGTATATCATATGATTATGAAGTTACTGTGTAAAAGTGTTTCATTGATTATTGAATGATGTATCTTATGAAGTTACTATGTAGAAGTGCTTCATTGATGATTGAATGATATATCTTATGAAGTTACTATGTATAAGTGATTCATAGATGATTGAATGATGTATCTTATGAAAATACTATCTAGAAGTGCTTCATCGATGATTGAATGATATATCTTGTGAAATTACTATGTAGAAGTGCTTCATGGCTGATTGAATGATATATCTTATGAAGTTTCTATGTAGAAGTGCTTCATCGATGATTGTGATGAGTAAAAATGAAGTTGCAGATCATAAAAAATGTTCATAAAATTAGACGAAACTTAGACTTCATTGAAAATACATTTTTAGTTTTAGCAAGTTTAATGATACTGAGAGTCAAGATGTACAACACAGTTAAATCCGGTAATAAAATAAATGTTAATTCTTTATTCAACTAGTTTTACTCGTCAAACCTTTGTTCTATGCAGGGTAACCCTAGTTACCAGAACTAAAGAAACGAGTAACACTGATGAAGGTTAGTCCATCCCTATAATATGGGCTATTCAAGTGCTATTAAACCAGAATTACCAGGGCTTTACAGACGAAAAACTGTGATGACGGCAAATGTATAAGCAGACCATGGATTAGTTACTCCTAACTGTTGACGGTAACCCTAGTTACGGAGCCTTTAAATGCGAGTAACATTGACAAGGGTAACAACATTTAAATCATTATACAATGGACGGAACCTGACCTTCTCAGTGCGAATCTCGGGCGGGTAGAAGACGACGACTTCACGCGTGCCTTTAGCAGGCTCGCCTACTCCGTTCTGGGCAAGACACTCGTAGGTGCCGTGGACGTGGCGGTCGACCTCCTCGAAGATGATGCTAGTGCCGCGCTCCTGAGCTTCTCCAGAGGGCATCTTGCCTCCTTGTTTGGTCCATGTGATCGTTGGCTTGGGATTGCCATCAGCGTTGCAGTCCAGATCGGCTTTGTCGCCCTTGATTGCTTCGATAATCTTATGTTCAGGTTTCACCGTTGCTGAGAAGTATACGTCTAAAGTATGAGTTACGTTAATGTTCATGTCCGGGGTTTGGTAGGTGCAACTGTAGTAGCCTGAGTCGCTCTTGCGTACGTTTGTGATAGTGAATACGTTGTCTTGAATGGAATAACGATCGTCTTTCACGAAGAAGAAAGTATCGCCGGATATCAATTGTTCTGCTTTACTATCATCGAAGTACCTGCGTTTCATAAGTAGCGCACTGTCATCTGCACAGAGCGGAGCTCATGTTAGATGAGATAAAATGTTCTAGGTCTAAAAGATGATATACAGGGACATTTCAAAAATGATCTCCTAGAAAAATCTGGCAGGAAATCGTGGTAGAAATGCAAATTTTACGGTCTTTCATGGCTCGAAGCTACTTACACTTGGTGCCGGAGGTGCAGGGAATGTTTACAGTTTCCCCGACAGTCGGATTGAAGACCATGGGCTGTACGTTGAAACTGGGCACCTCGTGCTTCCCGCCCTTCTCGTCATCATCAGCAGCGCCTGCGTCGTCGTAGTCGTATTGTTCCTGGCCCAATCCAATGTCTGCACACCAGGAAAATATTCAGCAATTTTTAACAATTAGATTCGGATGAGAGAAAATATTTGAAAACAACAACGGGGAGTGAGACTGTTTTGCAACATTAAGGTTGACTTAATATAGGTCCGAGTCAGAATAATATACGGAACAGAACTTGAGAGGTGCAGTTGAAATTAATAGAAAACAAATTTTATACAATACTCCAATTACTGGAAATTATCTACATCGGTAACATTTTCTAACATCAAAAAGCTAAATTGAGAAATGAGCTTTTCGGAAACAAGAGGGGGGGGATGAAATCTCAACCGTACACGCAGAAAAGTCAAGGCTGTGGTGACCTTCAAGCGCTTCACTCTTGGAGGCACAAATTTAAAATCGTAAATGCCAGCTGCAGGGGCGCTAATTGCATGCCACCTCATTAGGCCAAGCCTGCCAAGTCTTGATTACGAAACTTTCTCGCGGCCTTCTAGGTAAAAACTTTGGGGAAAAATCGATGAATATATGTATTATGTGTATATTTGTAGAGGATGAAACTTACTTGGAACATTAAGGCAAAGACTGCGGTAAAGAATCGATGAATATATGTATATATTTGTAGAGGATGAAACTTTCTCGCGGCCTTCCAGGTAAAAACTTTGGGGAGGAATAGATGAATATATGTTTATATTTGTAGAGGATGAAACTTACTGGGAGCATTAAGGGAAAGAATCGATGAATATATGTATATATNTGAATATATGTGTATATTTGTGGAGGATGGAACTCACTGGGAACATTTAGGTTTTAGGCAAAGACTGCGGGGAAGAATCGATGAATATATGTATATATTTGTGGAGGATGGAACTCACTGGGAACATTTAGGTTTTAGGCAAAGACTGCGGGGAAGAATCGATGAATATATGTGTATATTTGTAGAGGATGAAACTTACTGGGAAAATTAAGGCAAAGACTGCGGGAAAGAATCGATGAATATATGTATATATTTGTAGAGGATGAAACTCACTGGGAACATTAAGGCAAAAAAATGCGGTAAAGAACTGACGATAGATTATTATATAAAGGGCGAATCTTAATAGGGGATGAAGGTTTCCTCTATAGGTAAATGCTGCGGAAAGGAGCTGATAAACATTGAAAACCATATCTCATCGTAATTATTAAAGCTGAAATTGAACATGGCTATTTAACCATGTAGATAATACTTGATGGCAATCTAATAATTAAATCAGAAACTTAGACCGTGTAGTATAGCTCGGGTCTATGTCTTGCGCACGTAGGTATATATATATATATATAGTGAGGTTGTATTGTCACATGCTACAGTGGCTTATCATTTAAGAAAGAAAGGAAGATGGGAGTAAGTCATGTAAACAGAAGACATTTTCAAAATGAAATCCGAGCTCATGGAAATTCGGCAGCCATAGTTACTAATACTCAAGAAATTTTGAACGTTTTAACGATCCCATGTGACCGAAAAATTACTGCGAGTCATTGATCTGTCGATGTGCTTAGGAGAGATACCAGTTTATAACTAGAAATTACCAAGTACCAGTCTTACGAGAAATTGCAGATTTTACCAGCCACAAATAAGTAAAGTAAAAAACAACACACTTGTGTATTCTTTCAAAATCCACTTTTAAAAGTTTGGGGATGGAATTGTAAGTTTTTCTTTTACTACTTTTTATTAGAAAACTATGTATCTTATTATACATAGCGCTGTTTACGTTTCAAGATCATGGAATTATGTTGAAAATGCCAACACATGCATATAAACTTGGAATTTGGAAAGAAAACTGAAATGAAAATACTTGTCATCGGAAAGTCCAACGGAAAGAGTCGCACTTATCCCTGCAACATTTTTTCATTTAAAAATTTTGTTTAAGACTATCACAATGTACAATGTATTCGTGAATATATGTACAGTTGTACACGGATAGCGAATCAGCATTTTCTCAATAAAATTATCTTGAACGAAGACCTTCCTTCAAATCACCAAATGCAGCGACAGCTGCGCTCCCTCGAGAACAAGCAAATCAATTGCGCCAGTAATTAACCCCACATGGCTCCTCTGCTCAATTGCGGGTTGAACAATTTTTCAAATTACGCAGCAAACTCCATGCGTACTTGCAACATTCTGTATAATTGAACGTAATTCTAATTCTTCATGCCTATTTTCAAAGCAATTTAGACAATGATCTAAAATCAGCATGCATTTTTCCATGAATCCCAGATTTAACTCTACAGTGTTTGACAATGATAATATCATGTTCTCTTTTCACAGTAACAGTCTCGGAAACATCGTTTTCTTCAATACAATCAAATGCCTTATCGATGAAATAAAAACAGGCTTCGTACAATTGAATTCAAACAGAAATGTACTTCCATAACACAATGCACGACTTCTCCTTGCAATAGAATGCAAACGGCTTGATTGTGCTGTAACAGCTAGTGAAGGAGGTTCGTGAGGCTTACTTTACTATTATAAGTGAGCTCACTTATAGCTCAGCAGCAAGCAGTTCAGCAAGGCTGGGCAATAGCAGGAGTCGTTGTTAGTACTTCAGGCATGTTTACTACCCTATTAAAATACGCTGGTGAACCATGCGTAGCCCAACATAGGCCACTGAAGACCTCCTACAATACACTTATTAATTTATTCTAGGTAGCTTGGGTTGTTGGTGTTGGGTTAGACCAGGTACAGGGCTTCATAAACACGGCCCTGACCTCCACAAACTGCTCGGTTGTTGCTTATAGTTTCGCAGCTATGTTGTGGCCTAGGAGAGAACAACATTTCAAAGTGTAGGTCATAGGAACATCATTCGTTGCAATAATAACTATGGTTACATTGGAATTTATTTCAGTAAATAATTTAAATGTAGTAATAGAAACGTTATTTGTGTGAATGACAACTAAGGTTACATTAGAATTTATTTCAGTCACTAATAAACTAAAGAAAATACGATGACAATTATACGAGAAGAATCTACACATATAACTTAGAATAACTATAATAAGTTGACTAGAAATTAATGGCATTTGCGAAAATCGACAATGGAGAACACGTCAAAAATAATAGAATATCTAATAATAATTCGACGCAGTACAATGTTCATTGCTCTCTAAACCCAGAAGAAATCAACAATACGGTATAGTATTTCATTTTACGTAAAAGTTGGAAAATTTTCCATTTAGGCACATAATAACAGCGAGAGCGTTCGATAAACTATGGAAAAACAATAATAATAGAAAAGTTTTGAGAAAAAGTAAAAAAGGCCAGTCATTGAACTCATAAGTGAGACTAGAACAGGAATTGAAAAATTCTCCATGCGTGAAACTTATTATCCGTTTCAAACAAAAGCCCCACTTAACGACTGGCATGAAATCAAGGCAATCCAAGACGAATCTCCGCCTAAAAACTGAGAAAATTTAAAACGCATGAGATTACAACTACCGTTTAAATGTGATAATAATCACACATGTTATTTAGTGGCATAGTCGTTGATGAGAAAATAATCAAAATTTCATCTGGTGCCCTGGCAACTTACTGAGTAAATTGTCTTTTGGTCAAGGAATTCTGAGGTGCAGTAATCGCTGTGACAACTTTTTTTCCTCTATCAAAAGTATAAATAGGAGAATTGAAAAATTGAAAATATGGTAAACAATTCAAGTGGAGCAGCAACATCTTGACGAATACTAAATAGACATAGTCAATACACCAATAAACTAAAATAAAATCAACAAAATGGTAAAAATCGTGTTTAAGAACAGATGATAAACCGTTAAATAACCCATTTAACAGAAAAAAACTGGGTACTAGAAGTAAACGAAAGGATGATGATAATAGGAACAGCTATAAAGAAGAAGAGCAGAGCAGTGCCCTCCTTTCGGCTGGGCCTCTGTCGTCCTGCGAGGCCATCGATCGACGGCAGGCGACTCAAGGCTGGCAAGAGGCAACTTGCCTACCAATTCCTGATGCCGGCACAAAAGCTGAGTCAGCGGACGTGGCCAACGAGAATACCGAGACTCAATGGTGGCCACATTGGGAATTAATTAACACGCACCGCTGGAGAACGCCGAAAAGCGACCAGATGCAGCGCCGTGGATCGGAAATTCGACCGTAAAACTTCAACATAAACTCTAGAAGCGAGCGATCCCTGGATGTTCTCTGGAGACTCCGAGGAAAAGTCGGTAGGCTAAACTACGTAGGAGGGAATAGACCAATCCAGAAACTTTGAGTACCCATACGCGTTCAAAGAATTTAATTCATTGGCAGAGAAGGGCTTCCGCGGGTGAAAACGTCCTTTTTAATTTGGTTACTCCAAGTCAGACTGATTAGGTACGAATCCGGCGCACGTCTAGCTGATTCGGGCCCATACTTTCAAAAAAAGTTAAGAGATCGTAAGTTCACCAACCAATCATTGACGGCCTTTCAAGCAGCAAAGTCCACCAATCATAGACAAGAAAATAGTGCGTAAGTACTTACGTTCACTTAGCGAATTTTGAAAGTATGGCCCCAGGTTACTAAGCTTATGCGATTCTGCGATCGACTCGTCAATTTGCTTATTTTCATGTATGACAAAATTATTCGTCCATAAAAAACTTAAAGAGCATTGACAAAGAAAAAAATACCAGTATAAACATTTTACGAATGTTCGAAGCCATTACGAATCAATTGGGAAAATAATCAAACTTGTTAAAAATAAAGTTTAAACAATTAAATGTGTATCGTGCTACTGCTTCAATGTTTATTCGAGAGTTTCGTAATTTTGGAATTCATCTCAACACAACATTATCATGATACGACAAATACTGGTGCATCGAATGCTCATTGTAATTCAAAAAACAAATTAAGGAAATTATTAATAAGGCTTGAACATGAGAATTATAACGGCTTAGGCATACATCGGCAACTAAATATGATTGAGCGACATGTAAAATAATGACCAAATACCTTCCATGCCTGCATTATGATTCATACGATCATTTATCAACGATTACATGTAGATTAGAG